CTACTGTATGTAATATTTATAGCATTTTATATTTATAAAAGGGAGCATTGGTTTTTAAAGATTAGATATACTCCCCCTGGTCCTCAAAAATGTGGGTATGGTCATGCAAGTATTCAATGACAATGGGAAAATACTATCAAAAATATTGGTTTAATAAGATATAGTCGTCAATATTTCATGCAATTTCCTTTTAAAAACTCTTATCTTTCCCAAGAGGAAAAAGGATACAAGGAAAGACAGGAGACAAAAAAATCTGCCTACATTTCTTTCTCCACTCCTCCAGTTTATAGTGCTGGAATTACCTGGAGACCTGGAATTATCTTATTATCTCTGCAGCAGAGAGTCTGTGGTTCAGCATTGACTCACCCTTTCTGCTAGCCTCATTCACCAAACATACAGGGGTTCAATGTATTTCCTTAATCAAGCTTGCCTTCATAAATACAGCTACAATGAGTCTTTGGGAATGTTGTTGCACTATTCTTGATGCCATGTTCTAGGACTTGGAAGGATTAACAGAGAAGATAAAATCAGAACTTGGACTGAGAGTCCTATTCCTGACTTAAGACTAGGGTTGTTTTCAGCATGCCCTCTGGAACATGGCCTTGTGTTGACAGCAACACTTTCTGGAATGCCAAAATACTAACTGGTAGTGCAAAAAAAAAGACATACTAAAAACTTGCCTATATTATATCTAAGTCTAAATTACAGAATAATTAATATGTAATTTTTTAAGGCATTAGCTAAATCCTGCACCTAGTTCCTTAACCCCCTAAATATGAAGGAAACATGTTTAAAGTTCCCTTTCCTAAATCCATTGAAGACTCCACAGAATACAGTAATGAAAGAATATCAGGACTTAGATGAGAGAGCCTAGCTTCTTCTAAAGTTCTCAGAAAATTAACCTGGTGGTAGGCATAATAGATGGAATAATTAAGAAGACCGAGCAGGTGATTTTAGCTTTGAATCAAAGAAGCAATGACTGACCCAGAAAAATGAAAAATTAAATAAAAAGAGGAACATCAGTAAGATATTCCTCATTCTGAGTTAATAGTAGTGAACCAGGCAGAGGAACTCAAACAGGCAAAAGGGAAAGCACCAAGATGTTGCCTGAAAATAAGGATTTTATAGAGTAAATTAAGGACTGTATACCAGCTGCCAGGCTAAACATTTTGTATGAATAAATGTTGGCTACACAATCCACTTTTTGATTTTAACAAAATTTTGGCATTTAAAATTTCTTCATTGTATTAGATCCCCAGTTTCACCTTCACTGCAAACCCAGATCAGGTAGGGAGGGAGTGTATTTGAAAATGAAGATAACTACCTTTCAATTGTGAAAGAGCAGTGTAAAGCCTGTTTAAGTTGGGGATAATGGCTTATACGAATTGTGTGTAATGTTGCATTAACTTGTAATTATCATCATTATTAAAACTAGAGCCAAACACTCACCATGTGCTCTACAGGGCACATTAACTATATAAAAGGCATCATCTGTGCCCTCTGGGAACTTGGCCTAAAAGTTCAAAGCAGTGAGTTCAATACTCATTGACACATGAAGAAAATGGACTGTACTGCATCAGCCTAGAACTATGCAGTTCAAGATTAGAAGATTGAGCTAAATCTTACTTTAGAAACTAAACCTTAACAAATATAATTTAGTTTTTAAGGTTAAAATAAAGTGAAGCAGGAAATATAAGAGAAATTCATCAAGGGGCATTAACTCAAAATTTTCCTCTATCCTTGACCCTCATTTTACTGCCTATAGAAATAAAAAGGCTGGCCTCCCCTATTTCCTTATCTTCGAGAGGAGTGATCAGTCTGGTGCTTCTGATTTTGGCAAGCCAGCAGCATTAAAGAAGGAGGAGAGGCGTCACACCTGACCAGATCTTCAACTTGTTGGGTCTGCTTGTCCCTGCCTCTCTCACTGTTTCTTCTGCTCCTGAAAATATGATTAATATCTATGCATTTGTAAAACTCTGCATTGTAAGCAAAGCTGTGGCTTTCCATCCCAAGGAGGTTGAGGTATGGAGTTAATGAGAAGTGAGACTGTGGGGAATGAGTAGGAACATGCCAATGTTAAAGTAATTGAGCATGAATATCAAACACTGACTTGGGAACAGTCTTCATTTGCTGAGGGAAGTCTGATCAGCTGGTGGGCAGATGGAATGTACGGAGACCTGCATTCACTGCCAGCCCCGGAATTTCCATATCATAACAAGCCATACTTTATAAGTATAGCACCTCTGTTTTCCCACCTAGAATCATGTTTCATTTTTCCTCTTTCTTTACATTTTCCTACCTTTTTCTTCCCTCTTTCCTTTCTGAGAAAGGTTTCTTCTCTTCTTTTTTGAATTATCTCTCCCCAAGCCTCATGAAAAATTTAAAGTTTTGTGATTTCAATACCTGATAAACTTTTTAAAAAATGTGTAACTTTGCTAATGCCAGTTTAGAATTAAACACAGATGATGGTGTTGTGGTTAGAAGAATTACTAATGCTATAAATTTTATTTGAAAAACTCTTCATTGTCTTTTAAAACCACTGAGACCTTGAATTATTGGTTACTTTAATGCACTCCCATATTTGTAACTTACATAATTCTCAATCAGATCATTTATATGTTCTTACATGGCAAAGATCTTTGAAAAATTTGCAAAATATTGAGAAAATTAACACCTTTTAAAAAGATACTGATTATCAATCTCAAGTTGTAGCAAACAGTTTTATTCCAGAGTAATTTCAAAAAAACTAAACGTTAAAGAAAAATGTTGGTTCTAAATTCCTATGAATATATAATTATGCATTTTTATAAAAATTCATTTGATTTTAGCAGAGTTTACAAAGCAAAAAAAAATGCACACCTGAAATGTACATTAATTTGGAATTGGCTAAGTGAAATAAGGCACATCCATTAAATGAAGTTAAAATGATCCATGAGAAATACATAATAATGAGGATATAGGCAACAATTGTGTATTATTAAATGAGCATATATAAATTATAAGCTATTTTTAAATATATATGTTTAAAGGATTAATTTTTATATGATGGTGATAAAATTTCCCCAATATTGTGTTGTAACTTGTCACTTTGTAAGTTTCCTTTTCTTTTTTTCTTATTAAACTTTTTAAATGGTTCTCAAAATTCTGTGACAAATATTTGGTCAAGCTGTTTCCATTAAAAAGTACTGATTTAAAAAACCATTAACTTAAAATTGCCACATTCAAAAAAGAAAACCATAGTGATCCTTGAAACATTCTCTTTTCCTTCTGAATGCACTGTTATCACTGACCAGTCTTTTAGTACTAAACTTAAATGGCCAATTAAAAAAAACAGTTCTGAGACGGTTCTTCCTCCACCACTGATTAAGACCAAGGTGGCAGGTATTAGGGAATATATTCATTTAGCTTTCTGAGTTTTCTGGGCAGAGCTGGTGACCCTGCCAGCTCCAGCAGCCTTCTTGTTCATTGCTTTGATGATACCCACAGCAACTGTCTGTCTCATATCATGAACAGCAAAGTGACCCAGAGGTGGATAGTCTGAGAAGCTCTTAACAAACATATCAACGATGGCAACATCACTAGACTTCAAGAATTTAGGGCCATCTTCTAGCTTTTTACCAGAAGGGCAATCAATCTTTTCTTTCAGCTCAGCAACCTCACATGCAACATGAGCCCTGTGGCAATCCAGTACAGGGACACAGCCAGTGCTGATTTGGCCTGGATGGTTCACGGTAATCACCTGAGCAGTGAAACCAGCTGCTTCCATTGGTGGGTCGTTCTTGCTGTCACCAGCAACGTTGCCACGACAAATATCCTTGACAGACACATCCTCAACATTGAAGCCCACATTGTCCTCAGGAAGAGCTTTACTCAAAGCTTCATGGTACATTTTGACAGATTTTACTTCAGTTATAATGTTGACTGGAGCAAAGGTGACCACCATCCCATATTTGAGAACACCAGTCTCCACTTGGCCAACAGGAACAGTACCAATACCACCAATTCTATAGACCTCCTGGAGAGGCAGGCGCAAGGGCCTGTCAGTTGAACTAGTCAGTGGTAGGCTGCAATCCAGAGCCTCAAGCAGTGGGTTCCACTGGCACTGCCATCCTTACAGGTGATTTTCTACCCCTTCAACCAAGGCATATTAGCACTTGGCTCCAGCATGTTGTCACCATTCCAACCAGAAATTGGCACAAATGCTACTGTGTCAGGGTTGTAGCCAATTTTCTTAATGTAAATGCTGACTTCCTTAACAATTTCCTCATATCTCTTCTGGCTGTGGGGTAGCTCAGTGGAATCCATTTTGTTAACACCAACAATTAGTTGCTTCACACCCAGTGTGTAAGCCAGAAGGGCGTGCTCTTGGATCTGCCCATTCTTGGAGATAACAGCTTCAAATTCACCAACACCAGCAGCAACAATCAGCACAGCACAGTCAGCCTGAGATGTCCCTGTAATTATGTTTTTGATGAAGTCTCTGTGTCCTGGGGCATCAATGATAGTCACATAGTACTTGCTATCTCAAATTTCCACAAGGAGATACCAATGATGATCCCACATTCATGCTCAGCTATCCGTTTATCCAAGACCCAGGCATACTTAAAGAAGCCCTTTCCCATCTTAGCAGCCTCTTTCCCAAAATTTTCAATGGTTCTTTTGTCGATGCCACCACATTTATTTATCAGATGGCTGGTAGTGGTGGACGTGCCCGAATATACGTGACCAATGACAACAATGTTGACATGAGCCTTTTCCTTTGTCATTTTGGCTTTTAGGGATAGTTTTCATGACACCTGTGTTCTGGCAGCAAACCCATTCTGAAAAAGCATAAGTTTCTGTTTTGAATGTATATTACAATTGCTATAATAAAAAAATTATAAAAAGTAACCAACTAGTGAGTTTATCAATCCCTTCCTATATACCACGAAAATTGGAAACAACATAGAGAAAGCAACCAAATGAGAAAAATCTTGAATAAAAAAGTGTTTATAATTTACCTTAGTAGCGTAGTATTCTCTGACTTCAGGCCTAATAGAATCAAAGTCTCCACTGATGAATTCAGGCAAAAAGCTGGAAGAAACAGTAAATCAAGTAAGTTGACAAGTTATTTCTATTTACTTTTGAAACTTTAAAACTGTAGCCGAGTGTAATGGCTTACAACTATATTCCCTACACTTTGAGAGGTTGAAGCAGGAAGAGTGCTTGAGGCCAGGAGTTCAAGCCCAGCTTGGGCAACACAGCAAGACCCTATCTCTACAAAACAATTGAAAAATTAGCTAAGCATGATAGTGCACACGTGTAGTCTCAGGTACTTGGGAGGCTGCACTGGGAGGATCACTTGAGCCCAGGAGTTCGAGGATATAGTAATCCATGGCAGTGTAACTGCACTCCAGCCTGGGTGACACAGCAAGACTCTATCTCTAATTTTAAAAATAAAAAATAAAACTGTGATTATAAGGACCAAAGAGAAAAGCAATGTACTCAGAACAAAACCAGAAACGCAGAAACTACTTTTAGAGAGCATAGGATGTTATACTATACACTCTTGGTTTCAATGACTGAGGCAAACAAAAAGTATCCAACCAATTAATCAACACAGTCACAATGTCAGAGAATACTTATCTTTTTAAACAAATAGATCAAAAATTAAAGATTATTGGTTTAAAAAATCCTAACAGAAATATTCATCACCTTTGCATATTACCTCCTATACATGTACAAGTTTTTACATTATTGTACCCTCACACAAGTTCAGAACTTTCAACAGATATGAATAGAACAAATGATCATGAGGATTCTTGGTGACATTCTGTGCCAAGAAAGAGTCAGTTCAAAGACATTTCCAAGTATTCTATTGACATATGTCTAGAAACAGAAATCTTTTAGGTAAGTCTGAAATACTATAAGAGTCAAGGTTGTTAAATATAGGGAGAGATTCCCAGATGTGCTTTCTAATAATAATACAATTGCCTTATTTTTTCCCTGCGATGTTTTTTCTTAAGTCATTTTAGAAAGCATACCTTACTCCATCTATTATACATAAGCCATCATTTACTGTTTTTTACATAAAATATTTACATGACCTGGTAGAATTTCTTCCCAGTTAAAACACCTACTTGCAGAGAAATAAAACGTCCCTGAATTTCTCAGTACTCCCGAAGAATCACCTAGCCTGCTAAGCCTCAGAAATGTATATGATACAAAGGGAATGGTTGCTTTCACTTCCTGTAAAAACATTCTACCCTTCACATGCCATGAGAATTAAAACTGTAACTATTTATCTAGTTAATTGCTTTCATTCAAAATACTAAAACTTCTTAGGTCTTCTCAAGGGGACCACATTGTTATCTGATGAACAGGTCCATAGCTAAAGAAGACTGCAGTGTTATATTTCTAGGTATTACATTTCAAGAAAGGTGAAGCCCCAGAACTTGAAGAAAACTCTATGTCATAATAAATAAAACACAGGGGTTATCTGGCTCCTGGAGACATTTTACTAATATATACCAAAGGGGTTAGGATTCAGATACAGAAAATGTCTAAGGAAACCCTTCCAAGAGGAGAGAAACACAGCTGTATATTCTACTTAATAAGAAAAATTAAAAGCACATACACACATTGCCTTATCCTTCACCTATGGGTAAGCAACTACCAGCAGTGGAAAATGGACCTGGCTCTCATTGCGGGAGTTGCAAAGGGGACTAATGTTACGACAAATCTCTGTCAGAAAACCTGATGTGTGAGTTCGGGATAAAACTAAAAGACAAAATGTAGGGGAAAAAATACTAACCTTGTCCTTTAGCACAATTTCTTTTTGTAAGATTCTTTTTTTTTTTTTTGAGACGGAGTTTCGCTCTTGTTACCCAGGCTGGAGTGCAATGGCGTGATCTCGGCTCACCGCAACCTCCGCCTCCTGGGTTCAGGCAATTCTTCTTTTTGTAAGATTCTTGACTCAGTTGAAAATATTATTTGTGAGGTCAAACTTAATCTAACTGATCTGTATTGGGCCACCTCTTCTTTGAGTTACCACAAAGATCTGGGCCACATAAACTCCTCAGCTTGGATGAACTACACCCAACAATATTTTTATTAGTCAATTCATTCCGCAAATATTCACTCAACACCAACTATATGCAAAAGACTATAGCTAATTTCAGAAAAAGGTAGAAATGGAAAGTAAATGTAAGTACCCAGTGTTTAAATTAACATCTTCCCATAAGCTTTCTTCCTGGAAACTTCCCCTGCATATATCTAGTACTTTTAATTTCATTTTATACCTATTTAGGTAAATAACTTATACCTTACCCCTCATAGGACCAAAAATAGACTATTACGTTTTTTTCTCTTTATTTTCTCTTGTATAAATTCATTTATTTTAAAAGTTTCTTTGCAGTGTTGCCACCCGTCACCATTCAACTGCATGCAAATTAATACTCAAATGAATCACAAAATATTAGGGCTGGAAGGAATATAAGAAATTATCCTTCTAATATCCTCATTACCCTTTCTGAGGAACTGAAATCCAAGATGTCAAAGGCATTTGTCTTTGGATCCAATCTACTTCACCAAGTAAAGCAACCATTTAAAATTAGGACTCTGGGTCGCTGCTGGTCCAAGTAACATCCTGGGGAGACCAACTATGTTGCTCTCCAAATTTTAGCCTCTCAGATCTCTAGAACCAATTTGGCAGTTTCCAAATTACATATTGATTCTGACAATAAATAAATGGTGTTGGGAAAACTGGCTAGCCACGTGCAGAAAGCTAAAACTGGACCCCTTCCTTATACCTTACACTAAAATTAATTCCAGATGGATTAAAGATTTAAACATAAGACCTAACACCATAAAAACCCTTGAAGAAAACCTAGGCAAAATCATTCAGGATTTAGGCATATGCAAGGACTTCATGACTAAAACACCAAAAGCATTGGCAACAAAAGCCAAAATAGACAAATGGGACCTAATTAAACTTAAGAATTTCTGCACAGCAAAAGAAACAATCATTAGAGTGAACTGGCAACCAACAGAATGGGAAAAAATGTTTGCAATCTACCCATCTGACAAAGGGCCAATATCCAGAATCTACAAAGAACTAAGCAGATTTACAAAAAAAAAAACAAGCCCATTCAAAAGTGGGCAAAGGATATGAACAGACACTTTTCAAAAGAAGACATATATGAAGCCAACAAACAAATGAAAAAATGCTCATCATCACCGGTCATTAGAGAAATGCAAACCAAAACCACATTGAGATACCATCTCACACCAATTAGAATGGCGATCATTAAAAAAATCTGGAGACAACAGATGCTGAAGAGGATGTGGAGAAACAGGAACACTTTTACACTCATTTTGGGAGTGTAAATTAGTGCAACCATTGTGGAAGACAGTGTGGCAATTCCTCAAGGATCTAGAAATAGAAATTCCATTTGACCCAGCAATCCCATTACTGGGTACATACCCAAAGGATTATAAATCGTTCTATTATAAAGACACATGCACACATATGTTCACTGTGGTTCTGTTTACAATAGCAAAGCCCTAGAACCAACCCAAATGCCCATCAATGACAGACTGGGCAAAGAAAATGTGGCACATATATATCATGGAATACTATGTAGTCATAAGAAACGGTGAGTTCATGTCCTTTGTAGGGACATGGATGAATCTGGAAACCACCATTCTCAGCAAACTGACATAAGAACAGAAACCTGAATATTGCATGTTCTCACTCACAGGTGGGTGTTGAACAATGAGAACACATGGGCACAGGGAGGGGAGCATCACACACTGGGGTGTTGGGGGACAGGAGGCAAGGGGAGGGACAGTAGGGGGCAGGAAGGTTGGGGAGTGATAACACTGGGAGAAATGCTTGATGTAGGTGATGGGGGATGGAAACAGAAAACCATCATGGCATGCGTGTACCTATAAAACAATCCTGCAAGATCTGCACATGTACTCCAGAACTTAAAGTACAATAAAAAAGAAAAGAAAAGTTGTGGTGAATCCTGCTCAGCCATAAAAAGGAACTAATTAATGGCATTCTCAGCAACCTGGGTAGAACTGGGGACTGTTGTTCTAAATGAAGTATCTCAGAAATGGAAAACCAAACATCATATGCTATCACTCATAAGTGGGATCTAAGTTATGAGGATGCAAAGGCATAAGAATGTCAATGGATTTTGGGGACTTGGGGGAATGGGTGGGGGGATGAGGGATAGAAGACTACAAATTGGGTTCAGTGTATACTGCTTAGATGATGGGTGTATCAGAATCTGACAAATCACCACTAAATGACTTACTCATGTAACCAAACACCACCTGTTCCCCCAAAAACCTGTGGAAATAAATATTTAAAGAAATAAAAAAATATAAATAAATAAATAAATAAAAGCTGATACACACAGGCAACTGAACATCTATCCCTTTAGGGACAAATCATCCTAAAGACAATTAGATCTCCCTATATCTTACACTGTGAATAATGAAAGAAAGCTTTTATGCAAATTCACATATGTTTTAATGGAAAACATTAACAGGAAAACAAACTTGTATAGATAGTAGATGTCTTGCTTCGGTTAACTTTTAATATAATTTTCTCCACTGTAACATGTATGCTTTCAAATGGAATTGGGATGCTGCTATCTAAGAAGACCCATGCCAAAAATACACCCAGCATTCATGCTGAGATGACTAAAATAATTACAACATTCGTCAAATAATGCACTCGTTTTTGAAACTTGCTGAAATGTACTTTTTGACGCTGCAATTAAAAGCTCATCTCACTTTTCCTGAGGTGCCTGTTGCCATGGTGCCTGGGCATTCTGAAGAGGTACTTACTGGGGATGACACTTGACAGATGTAGAGGAGCTATGTTATGATATAAATGACAGTTTACACAAGAAGATTATTTTCAGAACTCTTTGGGGACTGATTACACGTAGCAACTGACTACAGGTATATGGATTTGTGTAGCCACTGACCATGTTTCTACCTACTGTTGACTTAGGCACACCAATAAATCTTTTCTTTGCTATCCTCAATCTATGGGCACTTAATTGTTAGTACTG